ATACACACACATATACACATTATATATATATACACACACATTATATATATATATATATATATATATATATATATACATACACACACACACACATATATATATATACACACATACATACATACATACATATATATATATATATTTTAGTGCTGTCAAACGATAATTTTTTAAAATCAGATTAATCACAGGGTTGCTGTGGATTAATTTCGATTAATCACGATTAAATATCATTCATTTTTAATCTATATTAATCGCATCTCATTTTGCACGAGCAAACAGACTCAAGAAAAAAGAGAATATATATGCACTTAACATCCTGAACACGAGTCGGATGCATTCCATCTACCACAGAAGTACAATACCATGGACCCATATCAAAAAGCAAGATTTTTTGCTTAGCTAGACAACTTGTTAGATTTAAGGTACCTCAGTTTAAATGGTCTTTATCTTTCACTTACAATTAGCCCGAACTACCGTAAATCCGACAAATAATTAATCCAACCAGGGGCGCCGTAAGGGGGAGGAAAGCTAGGACGATTCCAAGGGCCCCTGAGTGACAGGGGCCCTAAAAATTAGGAAAATAACTGGATTGGTTTGGACTGGGGGGCCTAATATGATATGCTTTCATGGGGCCCAAAATCTCTAGCGGCGCCCCTGAATCCAACTAATCATGAAATCCTATTCTAGCCCGGTTAATTGCCATTGTTAGCAATATCAGTTGATAACAGATTACGCGCGGTGCTTTACGTATAAAACTCCGTAGCAACACGTCCACAGATAAGTTGGACGGTATAGTGTGTGCGACCGATTTAATGAGCCACAAATGAGAAGTAGTGCTTAAACAGTATAAAACTACAACTTTCCCTTCTGTTGATAAAGGTCGCAGCCATGTCGGATCCTGAACTGGGGACCTTCTGTGCTGCTCCAAGATACTTCTCGGATCTCCGAGAAACGGGAGCACGCGTGTCATCACTTCTGGCTTCAAAACTCGGAATCCGACTCGGAATACGAGTTCCAAGGGCAAATGGAAAGCACAAAAACTGCCCGAAATGGGTTGACAGAGACATTTCAGGGATTTTAAGTCATTCTGCGCTGCAGATGGGTTAATTGCATAAAAAAAATTAATCAGATTAATCATGATCAGCGCTAGAACCACTGTAGTTCGAACTACATTAGTCCCAATGAACTAACGTGGTTCAAACTACTGTGGTACGACGGTTTTGGGAAACAGCCGTACTTCACATGTTGGTTAGTTTGAACTACCATAGTACGATGCATCATTAATGCTAACTTCCGTCGTTGTGTGGGAAACGCATCCCGGAGTGGGGAGCGATCTGCAGTTGCTGGGAGCAGAGGCTCCATGTGCAATGAGCGGAAAATCTCATCGCTCCGCTCCGTTCACATGCTATGGTTCCGCTACATATTTTAATACACTCTCAACCTGGGTTTGCTGTGCTTCGCCAAAGTCTCGAAAATTCAACTTGTCCCACGAGAGATTGTTCTGCAGATACGAGCGTGTGCGTGAGTTTAAAAACTGCGCAGGTTTTAAGACCACTAAACTGTTGTTTAGGAATTAGTCGATGCTGCTAACACGTACATCTGCGTGTTTAAAAATTAATGCGACGCAAAAATGCCTGCGAGAAAATCGTGCCAAAAGTCACATCATCCACAGAGAGAAAGGTGCCATTTTTCCCACTCTGTGTTTTTTGTGAGAAGGTGATAGTTTGTATTTGTATAAGACGCTGTATTTGTGAGACAGTTATTTGTATTTGTAATATACCTTGCGTTTGTGAGGGGTTTTGGCACTATTTTAACTCAATATTAGTACATTATTATAAATAAACAGACCATACATATCTGCTTCTTGTGTTAATTCAATGGTAGCAAGTGAATCTTTATTTACTAATGTGAAATAATTAGTTACAGCTTATTAATGGTGAAGGAGCAGACCTTAAACTAAAGTGTTGCTGGTTTTTCTTACCTTTGTGGTTTTCCAGAATCACACTTAGATACAGGAAACTCAGTATTAGGTGAAGCATGAAGAAAACCCCCAAAAGGATTTTCTGAGCCAGATCTAAAAACATCAAAATGTGAAAAACAGTAGATTAAATACCTATAACATAAAACAAGCCTTTATTAAATATTTTCCCTTCCTTCATTTTTTCCTAAAACGCCCTTGAGTTGGGATCTTAGAGCAGGTGGACAAAATGATGAAAGTATCAGTATATTAATACTAAGGCCCTAATAAGCAGCAGTCTGCAGTTCGTTGGCGCATTAAGGAGGTGGAAATTGTCAAATTGAGGGCAGTCACCAGCAGCAGCACCTATTGAGCTGCTGGTTAAGAGCCTTGCTCGAGTGCCCACAGATGTGACCATTCTGCTGAAGCTAGGCTCAAACCGGCAACCTTCTGATTACAGACACAGAGGCTAAAGGCTGGTTCATACCTCTACGCTGAAGAGTAACACTTGCGTATCCACTCTGCATACAGTATGTGTACATGGAAGCGTTCGTAGTTCTTCAGTGAAGCCGCATACTTTGCACATGTGCACAATATGTATTCATATTTTTATTAATATAAAATATTATTCTGATATTCCCTGCACACATACCACAGCAGTGATGTTTATGTCAGTTTCATATTTTACAAATTCAGAAAACCAGCTCACAGGGTTGCTAACTATCGTCAGCTGGCTGGTGTACCTTGTAAATAGTCTGTAGGCTTTAGAAACTACCCCAAAGCTTGTCAAAAGCATCCATGTTGGTATTTAAAGTGGACGGTAGGAAATTGATCATGCGCAGTGTATCCAGAGCTGCACATACACCGCTGCACAGACACAAATTTAGTGTGAAGCAAGTGTTCATCCGCGGAGGCGCACGGTGATATCAAACATATCAAACGTTCAAGTGGACACGTCCGCTACTATGCATGGGGAGAAGTATGAACCAGCCTTTCATACAGCAGGGGCAGGCAATCTTCTCCAGAAAGGGCTGGTTTTTGGGATAACCTTTAGGTCAGCTGTTCAAACCCAGGTGTGAGGACTCTTTAGCCAATCGGGTCTCTAATTAGTTGCAGCGAAATGCTGCACACACAATGGCCCTTTATGAAGAAGACTGGCCATCCCTGACATGGAGAGTCCAGAAATTTTAGCTCCTTTCAGACCAAACGGGTGAAGCCTTCCTCAAACAGAGCTCATGTACCCTAACCCTTCCTCATACACAGAGCAGAGCTCACGTACCCTAACCCTTCCTCACACACAGAGCAGAGCTCATGTACCCTAACCCTTCCTCAAACAGAGCAGAGCTCATGTACCCTAACCGTTCCTCATACACAGTGTCAGGGTCAGCCCCTGCTGTGGTCCTTCCGTGTTCCTTCCCTGTTTGACCAGCAGGTGCTGCTGGTCATCCTGTCCTTCATGTTAGTCTTTGTTCTTCCCTGTTACCTGTCTGGTCATGTGGCTCAATGTGTTAAGCATGTGGTTATCTGGTTACCCTTCTGTCTTGAGTACCCTTCTGTCCTGTGTTTGAATCCCACCTCCTGTTTTTGTATTTTGGCTCCCTAGTGTTTCATTTGAGTTTCTTTAGTTCTTGTATCTGATTTTGTAGTTGGTTCTTGGTTTTGTTCCTTGTGCCCCTGATTGTCTTTACATGTTTAAATTCCAGTGTTAGTTTCTGTTTCCTTGGTTAGTTCTTAGTTTCCCTGTTTTCAGTTCCTTTTGTGTTCATTAGTTTCACCTGTGCCCTGTTTCCTTGGTTTTGTTAATTAGCCTCACCTGTCCTGTGTTAGTCTCGTTACCCATTAGTATTTTAGTTCCTGCCTGTGTTCAGTTCCCGAGTGGTTCATTGTCTATATTGTGTTCTGGTGTTGTTGATTTGTCGATGAGTGTGTTATTGATTGTCTTGGTTAGATCTGTGTCCTGTGTTTTCCTTCCTGGTTTTAGTTTTGTAATATTTAGTCTTAGTTTATTCCCTTTAGTGTTTGACCACCCGTGGTCCTTTTGGTTTTGGTGTTTTATAGTGTTTTCTGTTACAGTATATTTAATAAACCCTGTTTTGTTTTCCTGGAGCCGCAAGTGGGTCGTCCGCCCTTTTTGTGCACCATGCCTCGTTCCCGTTCCCGAGCCGCCGGCATTCCTGACACACAGAGCAGAGCTCATGTACCCTAACCCTTCCTCACACAGAGGAGAAGCAGTCAGTTCATACATTTTGATGTTCATCTATTTTTACATCAGTTTATCAGTGATGTACAGGGAGTTTCTCCCAAGAAATTTTACATTCATCCATACTCAATATTCATAGTTACTATCACAGAGGTGATGGGAAGTTCTTTAACCATCAGGGGGCGCTCAGACACACACACTAATGTACCTAAAACAGTCTGTCTTCTGAATGTGGACCAACCAAAATACCAAGCAGATACTCAGCATAAAAACTGGATGAAAGGCCAGCTGACACCACAGCCTGTGTTTGTGTTACCATGTATTATAGTTCTTTTACTACGGCTCAAAATACATAATGAGCACCGTAACTGTGACAGAAATGATCAGCTCATGTTACTTTCACTTAGACTGCGTCTTAAAAGAACTAAATGTTCATAAAATCACTTGAACAACCAAAATGATAAAATCATATGATTAACAAGATACAATAAATCATTACTGAAAGCCAGTTATAGGTTGACAAGTGTCACGCCCTGTCCGTCCTGTCATCTAATCCTCCCGTCTTCTTCCCTAGCCGTGGCTTAACCAGCCACACCTGACTCCCATTAACCTCACCTCTGGTTCTTTCCCCTAATTACCTCCAGATGTTTCTCATTTGCCCCTTTTGTCTAAGTATTTAAGTACTCCTCAGACATGTATTCCTTAGTCCGGTCATTGTTGTTTGTTGATGCCCCTGTGCCTGTGTTACTGTGGGAATATAGTCCCCATGAGACAGGATTGACTGCACTGCTTTCAATCGGGTCATGGTATTTCTATTAGGCAGGACAACAAGCAGACAAGCATCAGATTGAGGGAAATATAATAAGTTTAGTGTTTGTGCAGAATTGTTTCAGGTCAATGCCAAATACTTACAGAAATGTCTAAATGACCGCAGAAACGTTATGGCAAAAATGCACGCCCACATTCCCAAAGAAGCTACCGTAATTGGGACGATATATCCTGAAATCACAAAGCAAACATTAATATACATTAGTGGTATACAAATTCCCCACCCTGATTACGCATTCATAAACTCAGTTAGTTATGAATATGGCAAATGTCTGAGTTTCACACATCGGAAGCAAAAGTTTTATGCATTTAAAGACCTCACACATTTTGTGTTCTTCAGCTCTCTTTATAAAAGTACAATGTACACAGTCCCAGTCACACGACCCTCACAACTACATAGACTAGTAACAATACAGGAAACACTGTCAGACACCCTAGTCCACTGTGAATACAAGTCATTATTCTCCATCCACCCCCCTGCTGTCCAGGACCCACACATAAGTCAGATTTAAACGGTTTGGACCAATCAGGGATCAGTCTCCATCCTCTGCAAGTGGCACATACATAAACTCCAGGGGAAAAAATCCTCAGATAAACACAGTCACTTAATGTTTTTTTTCTTTCTTTTTTTCTTTTTTTTTGTTACAATGTGTATTCTGGTGGTTTACAAATAAAATGTACAATTATCCCACATAATACGTTCTTTTTACCAATTGCAAATGTATATGTTTCACAGAATAGTGAGAACTTAGAGAGCTAATTAAATGTATTTAATGAAAGTATCACAAACCCTGCATTAAATTAAAAGAAAACTCACCCGGTAAAAATGTGGCTTGCATCCAGGCAATAAGCTGGATATAAAGTGTAAGGATCAGCATGTTAAACATCATGTTTAAACCTGTAAGTGTAAAATAAACCAAATTAGACACAACAAAGTGCTCCTGGGCTTGCAAATCAGAATTTAATGGCTCAGGTCCAGAAAATCACTTCAGTAAAAATATCCTGCTGCCTCAATGGGTAAATTTTAATTTGCTCTGAATTAAAACTATCTGCTCAGCATTCAAAATAACTATGATGCCATTAAACAAAATATATATATTTAAAGAATTTCATTTTTTGTGTCTTTATATATATGTGAGGCCGGTTTAATGGGGAATCATCCACAGTATTCATTAGGATAAAATTTCCTTCCAAATCAAAACCAATAAAACAAGAATCCATGTTATGAAAATCCCTGCGATGGGCTGGGATCCCCCTGCCTGTGCTTCCTGGGAGGGGCTCCAAGCCTCCCCATTGGATAAGCTGACAGAAGATAATGGGATTTTAGGAAAATGGTCAAGGTTCAGATGTTTGTTTGATTTAGTACAGTGTACAAAGAAATACCTGTATAACTAATTCAGGTCCAGGGTTCCTGAAATAACAGGGATCTGAACAGCTAAAGAAATATGTATAGTACCTACAGAACATACTTACTGAGGAATAAACGAAAAAATCTAAAAAATTGTCCCATTTGTTGTTTTGCAGGGTTCCTTAGGTAACAGATCAGTAAAATCCCAAACACACCAACTGATAGGAGGTAAAAACATCGTCAGTCATGAACTTTGTGTTAGACGCGTAAGATCAAAGATGTGTTCAGGAATCCTGTCTTTAAAACCCTGCATAGCACTTTCACCTGGTGGATCTGGGTTGTGGTGCTGAAAGAGCATCCCAGGTTAAACGGCAGATTAAAATGTGTTGTATTAAAGGTGTTTGGTTGGGACATTATATGATACATCACATAATCGTTAAACATCAGTGATGAAAAATAGCTATAAAAAATCTGTCATGCAAATGCTTCACATTGACTTGACACCATTTGGCATTTAATTACTTACAATATGAAGAGAAACAGCTCTGTACTCAGTTCTCACCCACTACAAAGTAAATGCAACAAACTAAAATTAACCAAAAAGTAGATAAAAAAATGTTAATATACTTACTTGGAATTAAAAACTCAATCAATAGAACTATGAACACAATTAAAAATGCTTTAGTTTCTGCTCTTCCAGCGAAATGTTTGGCAACACACACACCGACACCAACTGAAATGAAGTAAGAATACTGAGTCATTATAAAATTCATGAGAGACACACTCAGCGATCTTGTGATATAAAGAGTATAGCCCTGAAACCTGGGGGTTATGGGTTTCAGTCCCCTGCTGGACACAAAAAGTACATCCCAGGTTACGAAGCAGTTTAACATTGTTTATGCAAAGATAATGATGTTTTAGTGGGATATTATGCCATAAAATTTACACAATGATGAACTGAGTTCTAATTTCATGTGCTGAAATATGTTCAAATTTTCAAGGCTCAAGTTTTGTGTTTCATATTTTAATATGCAGAAAATAACTTCCTCTACACATAATCCTGGTCCAGAAATCCCAAAACAAAATGTTAAATAAATGCATTTATAAACCTGGGAACAGACTCACTTGCAAGTAAAACCATGATTATCAGGTATACAGATACAGCCCATAGTATTTTCTTTTGTCTCTCTGGTGTTAAGTTGTACCAAAACCAAAAGAAAACTGAAATGATAAGAACAGGGTCAGTCGGCATGACGTTCATGTCAGGAACATCACAGGTAACAAGGGTCAAACATCCTATAATGTACTAAACATCCTATATTGTACACATGTTAAAGATTTAAGAATACATTAAGTCAATTTTAAAGGTTCTTTTAAATCTTTATAATGTAAAAAAGAAATACTTCTGTAGCTAATTATGGTCCAGTATTCCTGAAATCACCAATTAGTAAAAATGTATAAATATACTAGAATATTTCAGACTAATGAATGTACTTACATTGCATAGAAGCCATTAAGATCATCATAACTACTAATCCACCTACAAAGACTCCTAGTGTTGATTTCACAGCTGTGCTTGCAGAATATTTTGTCAAAAACTCAGTGACAGGAACTGAAATGAGGTAAGAACAGAGTCATCATAGGATTCATGTCAGACACACAGGACATAAACAGATGGGCTCAGTGCTCCTGTTTAAAATAGGTTATGAAAAGGTACCAAGGCTGCTGGAGGGACACTATCCTAATGCAGGCCCCAAATCATACTTCCACACAGCTACAGAG